CTCTGAGTAAATTGTGCAGATCGAGTCAATATAGCATATAGCTGCCATACAAACTGAACGACCATAATCAACTTCTTGACTTCTTCTAAAAAAATATTTTGTATTTCTGAAGGATATTATATAAAACTTCGGCAGAACCAAAGTTAACGCTTTTTCTTGTTAAAGCAACTCTTGCTATATATAATATAAAATTCATTACTTTTCTTAAGAACAACCAACTACACAGAACTGAAATGGAAATTATTTATTAAAATGTTTTACCTACTACGCGCTTGTCCACGTAGCACTAAATTGGACGACAGATGAACGTAAGGTAAAATATATATACAAACATACATTTATACATAAGCAAACATATAAAAAACGCATAAGTATATAAGTATGTATGTGTGTATATAGCCACAAGGTGTTAAACGCTTTGCTGTCAGTACGAACCACTGAGCAAAAACAATAGCAAAGTCCTCACAAAAACGAAACTCGTTAGTGGTGAATTTTTAATAAAACATGAAATTATTTGTCATTATTGTCTGTGGTAATAAGTATGTGCTCACTCGACCATACATATATATATACATGTATATATGTATGTATAACTGGTAACTAGGCAGCAGTAGTTGTGAAGTCAACATGAAAAGTCGTGAGGTCCTTATGCAATACTTAGATATGTATGTATAACTCACAGTGTATGTGTGTGTGTGTGTGTTTAGGTTAGTTTCATAATTAAGTTGTGCTGCGCTGGTCATCATAGCTCAATGGTTGGGCAAAAAGTGCTAGCCAGGTTGGTTGAAAAGTCTATTAAAAGCGTATGCTCTCTCGCCTCTTTCATCCGAATGTGCGGTGGCCACTGCGCTGTTAACAGACACAACCGCAAAAAGTGAAATATAGGATGTGATGATATTAGTACGTGGTGAAGATTCATTACATGAATTATGCATATTTGATACGGTAAACTCAATTTGATTATTAACATATATTTTCTTTAAAATTTGATAATAAAGCATAGATATAAATTAGGTTTTTGCTAAATGCAGGTATTTTCACAATAAAATCATTTTTTATGTATCTGAAAGTGAGGGAATAGAAATACAACTTACTCATGTCTAAAGACATTATTGATAAATAGTGAAAAGCTAGATTCGTAGACTCCAATTTTCATCCATATGGATATAACGACGTTTCAAGACTTCTTTGTAGAAAATTATTAGAACTTCACCTATATTTATAGCGCCTCTGCGTTAATTACGGATATGGAACACTCTCTGAATTCAAACCCCTTAATTTTTTGCTTCTTCTCTAGACTCAATGCACTTTTTGAAGTGAAATTTATGCAATATTTTTAAAATTTTCATTACTGATCGCTCGGAGACAAATGTTCCGATCACCATCATTTTTTTCTGCAAGTTCCATATATATGGTAATTCTCCTTACAATGACCCACCAATTTTTAATTTTGCCAGACCAAAAATTACCAAAATGTTGGTCTTTTTTTAAACCCCGCCATTTTGTCAGTTTTCGAATTTTTTTCTATCGTTAGTCATTCTACGAACAATATCTTATAGTGAAAACTATCAATCCGCAGAGAAAACCGGCGTCGCTGCAGAAGTAGTGGACGTTTAAAATTAATATGTAAAATTGTGCGTAATAGTATTTAATTAATTCTACGAAATTAACTAGATTCAAAAAAGCTGAAAGTTGAAAAAAAAATTTGTAGAAATGTTGCCACCTTTTCCAAAAAATTTAAATTTTTTAAACTAATTTAATAAATTAATAATTTATAAATATTTTCACAGTATTCAAGGATAATCAGTTGATGTCTTAAAGATATTTCAGTCTTAGACATTGAAATAAGTGGCCACCTATTAAAAAATGTTTAACAAAGTATTTTCTGTATTATGGACAGTTTATACACATCAATCATCAGACAGTAGTCATATAGTTTCTCGAATACGACAATGCAAAAGATAATAAATTTCAAAATAAAGGTTGTCTTCGATTCGGCATTGCACTGCTCGCTATCTTTGAGCGCTGTTTCTTGTAAAAAAAGTTCATGTAAAAGCAACAATAAAGTTACTGAGCTGATCTGCCTTCAATGCTACCGAGTTTTGTTTTTCATATTATACTTAAGTTTTACTATTGTGAATGGCTCAAATGACAAGTGAAAATACAAATTTATTTTTATTCTTTGATTTACAAAACATCAGAAATAAAATCAATTAAAATATTTGATAGAAAATAAAGCTAAGGATTTAATAAAACGTTTTTTGACACGGAAAAAAGAAGAAAGTGCTGCCTGTTTGTTTGAATATATCGTATGGTGTGTACGATTGGCTACGCTCCAACGCTTGGCGAATCGAAGTTTTAACGCTTATGTTTTCAATTTTAAAAATCTTTGAACCATTAATAATGGTAAGTTCAACATGAAATTGGCACTGAGCAGCAACTTTTTCTAGATAGAAGGAAGCCTAGAGAGGCTCCTCACTTATCCTTTCCAAATACGGCAATTTTGCTTATTTATTTATACATTACAAAACGAAACTAATTACAATACTTCAAGTAATTAAAATACATATATTTGAACTTTGTGATATTTGTATCAGATTTTTTCAACCGTACTTTTACATACGTACAATACAAATACAAATACTTTTACATATATGTATATGCTGACAGGAAAGTGTTTATTGGTAAGTTTTTGGAATATGGCTTTTGGCAGCATGCACAGTTGCGTGCAACTAATTAACAACGATAGTAGATCAAGCAGTAAGTAGTAGGTTGATTCTTTTATCTTACTTATTAAAAAGGTACGGATATATGTATGTATATATATAAAACAAAGAAAAACATGTTTGCGGGAAAACCAGAGTTTTTAATATTTGAACGTCTATTTGGGTAATGCAACTAATAAACAACCGATCGATCGCCTTTTTGAACATTTCGTATAAATCGGCGAAATTTTTTTCTTTATAAGGGTTACTTTTTTTCAGTTAAGTCTAAAGGTTCTTGATATGGTTTAGATATGAACTGCAAGAACAACAGTCAAAAACAGTCACCAATTTTTCTTGAAAACACAGATTATTGTGACGCGTCACGACGTGCTGGTACAGCTATGGGACATGTTATCGAGATGTATTTATAATAGTAAATTAATTATTAATTTTTTATACAGGCCCATCACATTACCCCCCAAAGCATTATATTGCTGCCACCATGCCTCAGTGTTGAAGTAGTTCACCTAGAGACCAGCTCTTTTCATTGTGGGTACATAACTTTACCCGTCAAGACTCTGTTTACCTTTGTCAAAAAATAATACCATTTGGAACTCACTTTTTGTCCAATGGCGGTATTTTAGACAAACTTCAAACGATTTTTACAATTGCGATCGTGCTTCTCGTTATCGCCTTTTAATGATTCTACTGCAGTCGTTTTACGTGCTCTCTTTCTGCATGGAACTTGTTTTGTAGTTTTATTAAACCCAGAACAAGGTATATTAAGTTTGCCCCAACGTCGGAGACCTTATAAAGTATATATATGGTATAAATGATCAGCATGACGAGCTGAATCAATTTATCCATATTCGTCTGTCTGTATATACGCGAACTAGTCCCTCAGTTTTGGAGATATCGATTTTAAATTTTCAGCAGTCCTTTTCTCACCAACAAACTGCACATTTGTCGTAACCGCCGATATCGGACTGCTATAGCATATAGCTGCCGTACAACTGGCCCATCAAACTCAAGTACCTGTATGAAAAACTTTTTTATATACCAAGATATATTCACAAAATTTGGCAGAGCTTATTATCCAAGATTGTAGTGATAGCTCCAAAGAAATTATTTAGATCGGACAACTGTAGCATATATCTGCCCTTCAACGGACCAATCCTTATCGAATCAATATACGAGCGTTGTTAATTAGGTGTACAACTAAGAATGTTTTCAAGGGGCATACTTTAATGTGTAAGACACTAGTAAAAATATAAATTTTATTTCCTTAGTATTTTACACACACACACATATGTGAAATATATCAACGGAGGCATGTCGTTGTTAATAAGTTGTACGCAACTGTATGTATATTTGTATGTTAGCAACTAATTTCACTAAAGTAAATAAAACACCCACGAAATGAAACAACAATACAAATATAGGTGTGTTAAAAAATGCACGTTTGAGTGTCTGTGTGAACTTTTTTTTACAGGGAGGACCATATACAAATATCATCTTAAAAAAAGGTTAATTTTTTCCTTTTTTTATTACACAGTAATTTATTTTATTTAAATTGAATATAGATTTCTTTTACTTAATTTTATTAAGCTGTACATTTTTAATTTAATTTTATTTTGTTTTATTCCATATCTTTTTATTTAATTTTTTTTTTTTTATTTCATTTTATTTTTTTATTTTGTTTTATTTTATTTTATTTAATTTTTTTTATTTTTTTTTTATTTTGTTTTATTTTATTTTTTATTTTATTTCATTTATTTTATTTTAATTTATTATATTTTATTTTGTTTTATTTTATCTTATTTTATTTTATTTAATTTTTTATTTTATTTCATTTATTTTATTTTAATTTTTTATATTTTATTTTGTTTTATTTTATTTTATTTTATTTTATTTTGTTTTATTTTATTTTATTTTACTTTATTTTTTATTTTATTTCATTTATTTTATTTTAATTTATTATATTTTATTTTGTTTTATTTAATTTTATTTTATTTCAGTTTATTTTATTTTTTATTTTATTTCATTTATTTTATTTTAATTTATTATATTTTATTTTATTTTATTTTATTTTGTTTTATTTTATTTTATTTCATTTATTATATTTTATTTTGTTTTATTTTATTTTATTTTATTTTATTTTACATTATTTTATAGTCTTTACTTTTTATTTATTTTTTAATATCATTCGACGCACTACCCTATACCCCTTCATACATAGATTTAGGAAACGCTGACTATAACAAAACTTTGCATCGAGCACTCCCAACAAAGACCACCAACTATATACGCCCGCATCTCCTTGCCCCCTCACTCAGCCATCATATCATCGCCACACCACACCACAGCGCCGCGCTGTTGGACGTGCCCAACCAATGGTCAGCCGGCATTTGCATACGCAATCAAATCGGAAACAGCGGCGAATACAAACATAAACTCCAACTAAAAGCAAACACGCGCAAACACAAATACAAACAAATAAGTGGCGCGCAAGTCAAAGGCGTGATTGTGTGATATTGATTGAAGCGGAAGGGTCAAGCTGGACGTGCGCGGCTTACCATCGCACTCATCGCTCATATGTGTGGCAGTTAATAAAGTGACCGCGATATATGGGCGGGCAATTGTAGCAAATGTATGCGTGTGTATAGGTGTGTGTGTGTGGTCATGTGGCGCTCACACTTTGGATGCCATTTAAATATTTGCGTATTTACTGATGACGCGCGCGCGGCATCAAAAGGCTGCTGCTAGGCCACCGCACTGGCTGATCTCCAACTGCACCTGAAAGCGCGCGGTGGTCAGTGTGTGTGCGTGTGCATTAAAATGAATTTTCACTGACGCTGACTTTGAGCCGCTTCAATTTAAAATTGCGCAACATCAGCGCAAACTTTGACGCAGCGTTTCTGAATAAGTTGGATGTGGCAGTACAGCCGCACTTAATAGTAATTGATGTTGCGAGTCGACTTAACCTGAAAAATGTGAGTTTTTACGCAAAAACTTTACATGCAATATTATTTTGTGCATTTATTTGTGTATGCCACATATGGTTATAATTTTTTTGTTTCTACTTTCGTTTTTTAATTTGTTTACTTTGGTTTTTTGCGGAAATGGCCTCCATTTGCATAAGCATATGCCCATCAGCGTTTCTGGCGTTTAAATAAACACTCTCTTTGATTGAAGGGTCACGTGTTCTTCGGTGGTTGATTGGTGTGTTGACCAAATGGCAATGCGTGGCGCTGCGCGATTTGATTGCTTCGATGTTTTAGAGTTGGTCCACACATTTGCATACCGCGCCAATTTATTATTTCGATTTTCATTGACACTTTTCACCAACACCAAAATTGAATACGAAAGTAATTTAACAATTTTTCCTTTGATCTCTTTGCAATGTTGTAGAATTGAATTACAATATAAATGAATCTGCGCTATTAGAAGCGATACGTTCGATAAAAATTTGAAGAAGAAACTTTCAATCTCAACAATACCCAAATCGGAAAATCAAAAACTGCCAATAATGATATTTTACTTGTTTGTGAGACGCTAGACAGAAAATTTGGTCGGTTCAATCTTAGACTAACCGAAGAGCTGGACAAATTTTTTAAGCACCATTTACATATAAGCCTTTACAATACAGCCCACCTGAGAACACTCAGAGTATCTTACCACACACGACCCCACCACACTCAGCAAGACATTAGCACACGCTGCCACGCCACACCATCACGTAATAGTGGAATTAGTGATCGACGTTCCGCCCTTCCGTACTTACCGTCCGTATCAAACGAAATCTGTTAAAAGTTATGCCCGTAGTGGCAACGTAGAAATCAGTTGTTCTCTTTTGTTAAAATTTGAGTAACGTTGCCTATTTATAAATAATTGTATTCGACTGTGATTTTGAGTTAATTTAAGAATATTTCAAATATATTCATGTTTATTTTTTAGATGCTACAAAATATCGAGACTGGCAACCCTGCTTTGTAAGAGAGCAATCAACTGAGACGTTTCTACGGAAAAATGTATGTTGCATATACTTTAAATCGGGGTTCGTTTCAGTTACGTATGTTAGCACCGACTGTCAAGGCAATAATTAGGTTATTTTCCTAACCTAATGTTGAAGAGACTTTCCCAAACATGATGTAGCAAATGTGTAGAAATGCTCACTATGATCCGTTATCTAATTCGAATTTGTTTTTCTATTTATGATAAGCTGAGTTTGAAAATGAGAAAAAATCAGTTTTATATCGCATTTGAGATCACTGTTGACAAAAAACTAGTCTGCACTAAATAGTCAATACTGAATTGCTGTCTTATTAAATTATATTTGGACAAAGACAATTTCTGCGAAACATATATAGGCCCTTAAACATTAGTTACTGCGAATATGGCTAACGGTAGAATGATGAGCTTTACGCACTTTATGGTGAATTTGACACAACCCATTGTTGAGACGTCGTAACACCCTAAAAAGTCACTGTCTGATGTGCTCTATCGGCAGAGGGATTCGTTAGTCCACATTTGTTCATAAACTAATGTTCAATGGGAAATGCTATAGAGCCATGATTAATGACTTTTCTGTGCTTGAATCGGTGGATTGATGTTGATGACCTTTGGTTCCAACAAGATGGCGCTTTGTGCCATTTTTGTGAAGTTATGTGAAGTCGCTTGTCTTAGCAGAAAAGGCTGGGACGTTTGACGTCTTGGAAGAGAATATTTGGCGCATTAACACAATGGTAAACTTCTGGGCCATAACATAAAAAATATGTATTTTATTTCTACTTGAAAACCACATTTCTAAAAAAAAACACCCTTTCGCACAGTTTAGCCAATTAAAACTACTCACAAGCTAAAGAATTTCATCAGAAACTGATTCGGAAAGTATTGTACTTAAGCAATACCATAGTTTTGTAATAGAGGAAGTAGCAACAGAAAGTGAGCTTCATTTCCTAATGAAACTTTCGAAATCCTTTGACTAACGGTCAAATTCCATGACATTTTCTGCTTAAGTGTAAAGTTTTTCGTAGAAACTTACTAAGCACATTTGCCTTATAGCTTCTTTACCGCATGTCAACTGAGTGAATTTGTGAAAGAAACCCGAAAACAAACTTCAGTCCACTCAAAACAAATAAGCTTTCAACCCCCTCTATTTAAAAGCGTAATTCCCAGCGCATTTCCCATTTGCTTACCACACAAATCAGCTCAATTTCAAGTCGTTTTATTTACTAAGTACTTTTTCCAACACAAAACACATTTAATTACATTAATTTTTAATAATATTTCTTCAATTATTCTCCCGCCAACTTTCAGTAAAAAAGTAAAACAGCGAAATTTTTATGGCACACGCGCTAATTAACTTAAAAACAACAACAAGCAAACGAAATAATTCCATTTCATTATCAAGTAAATATGAAATTTTTAATTCGACCACCAAATTAACAAAAAAAAAAGCAACAAAAAAGGGAAAAAAACTGTAAGCAAGTGAAAATGAAGAAGTCTCAGAGGACTTGGCCGGTGTGGAAAATCAAAAAGCATAAGCGAATGCCGAACGAAAACAGTCACAAAAACCCTGAAACGCAAAGGTATGTGGTAAGCACAGTCGAGGGCAGAGAAGAAATAGCCACGCTGCCACTCACATTAAAACAGAAAACAGTTATTTTATTATTATTTTTTTATACAAAAGCCGCCTTTGCTTTTGCCTTAATTTCATTTTATGATTTAACTTTACACCTGCCTTTGAGTGGCCGCGGCACAAAAAGGACCAACTACTGCCGCTCGAAGTGACTCAAGTTCAATTAAATCCTTTTGCAGCCTTTTGACGCACTTAAGTGCCACTTGGGCAAGGAAACAAATACACCTGTGTGAGGGCCGAGTGTGGGCAGGGCACAGCTGTTGCGCTCAGTTTTGCCATTTTCTCGCTCATATTTCGGTAATTCTTTGTGACTTGCTGCATGTCCATGTCCTTTTCGTTTACTTCCGCAGATTTTCCAAATTGTTTCTGTTGGATTCAAAAGTTGGTTGCTTTGTTTTAAAATTAGTGTATTCGACTGTTGAGGGTGTGTGTTTGTGTGCTCTTTTCACTTCAAACCCAAATCTTCGTGTAATCGGATAAGGTAATTGGAGGCTTTGTCTAGACATTAAATGGACAAATAAATATTTTTCCGAACGCAACTCTCGCTGAAGCGTTATGCGAGGGTTGGAGAAGAAATCCGTAAGTATGTAAATGTATCGAATCAAGTCCATTACAAAGTAGCTGCTGACTTTGTAAATACTTATTACTAAGTTGCAATGGTTTGATGATTTTTGTTTGTGTTCTTACTCAGCAGTATCGAACTTATAAGGCATCTTCAGTAGAAAGGAATAATACACCTTCAAACAATTGGACCGTTTTTCTGGCCTTCTGCTTTGGCTTCCCTCTTCCACGGTCTCTCGCGTGTTCGACTTCCTTAATAATTCCAGTCTAGCGCTGTTCTAGTAATATCATCGGGTGGAGTATGGCTTGAGTTCTAATTAATTGATCTTAAGAGAGAAAATCACTCCTTACTTCGCGTCCTAGAAAAGCTTGGGTTACTCATAAAATTAAAACTAGAATTATTTTTTTATCTTCTTATTTTTAATCCAACTAAATTTTAAGACTGGTTTTGAGTTTTACTTACTTGTAGTCTTCTCGAACTGCTTAAAACATCATCTTAAAGTAAGACCCCTTCTTTATTTTCATTATATTATCTAAACAATTTCTAGACACGAATTTATTCTGAAACAAGAAAAAACGTTAACTTCGGTTGCACTGAAGCTATAATACCCTGCACAAATACAAAGGCTCCTTACAGGAACTTGATTCCGATCGATCAATTTGTAAGGTAGCTATATGCTATAGTGATCCGATATAGGCCGTTCCGACAAATGAGCAGTTTCTTAGTGAGAAAAGGACAGGTGCAATCGATAGCTTAAAAACTGAACGACTAGTTTGTATACCTATATACAGAGAGACGGACAGATAGACGGGCATGGCTAAATCAACTCAGCTCATCATGTATATGTATATATAGGGTCTCCGACGTTTCCTTCTGGATGTTACAAACTTCGTAGCAAACTTAATATACCCTGTTCAGGGTAGTAAAACTGGACAGCCAGAAATGGTTTGCCCTCAATCCGTGCATCCCTGAATTAGTTCTAATTACATAGAAACACAAACCATAAGAACTCTTTTACTTCTTCTCTGTAGTCTATTTGGGGGGGAGAGGTCTGCTGTAAAAAACCCAGGCCTCTTTTTCTCCTCGTGAAGTTCTGGTAGCAAGGAGAGGTTTGCTGAAAAATTCCAAGACCCCTTTTCCTTCTTCCAGGAAGTCTTGCATCGAGGAAAGGCTCTAGTTGAGGACTTCGACACCATAATTCTTTGGCAGCTTTGAGTTTTTGGTGATTGCCTAGATGTTTCAAAGGGGCTGAGCTGTCGCAGGTAATATTATCATAAGAGTGGATAAATCGCTCGAAACTGTCAGTCTGATGAGCTTTCTAGAAAGAGCGCTCATGTCTCACTATTACCAAGTTGAAATCGGCGCGGCCTTCTTTGGGAAAGATCGCGACATCTTGTGTTCATTAAGATATCTCACTCTTTTATTAAAGGTTCAGAGAGAGGCTAAAGGCTCATTAAACAACAATTACACAATTAGTCCTACTGATCTTCCGTCGGAGTATAATCGATAGGCCGAATGAAATTTGAAGGCTATAAAACTAATTTAGTAATTTTTAGAACGAGTCTAGATTTCAACTTAATTTGTAGGACAAATAATGCCAATCAGATTGCTTCTTTAGAGACAAAAGAAAATCCGCAAACATTTCTTAAAAGAAAGGAACTTCCAATATAGGTCGTTCAGCTGTTAGAAGCCAACAAAAAACTCGAATCCGTAAGACCTTCAATTGCATTTGATATTATAATTTTTCTCCACTTTCGCAGAGTCTACTTTAGCAATAACTACCTTCCCGCCTTTCGCTGAGAATTCTGCAAGATTTTTGGCCAAAATACTTGCGGTCGACTTTGAGGTCGTTCGAAACTAACCGCAGGTGTTGCATTCATTTGGGGCTTTGCATTAATTATGATATTGCAGCAGTGGCAGTCCAAATACATTTATGCATACTTATATATATATACATATATATACTCACATACATTTCCTGCAGTGTGTGGGTAGCAATAACTGGAACGCTGTGCTTAGCCTGTTTGCATAAGAAAACTATTTGCCACACTTGTGACCATGAGCAGCCAAATGTAACGCTACTGAATTGCTTGAATATACATATTTATATATGTATGTATACAAGTATATGAACATATTTGTATAATAGAGGTGTAAGTCCACTGCAATGCCGAGAAATACCGGGGTCTCTCCTTCGCTTGATTGCATTCTACCTTTCCTGTTGGCTATAAGTTGGACGTGAGCAACGCAAGCTACCGTTATGAAGTCTATATATATATATATATGTGTGTATATATAAATATATGTATTATATATATGTATGTATACGTGTGTGTAAAGCAATATCGGCAGTGAACTACCGAGCTAACTCAAATAGCTGCGCTTCCGTGTAACTGCAACGAAATTTGCTGCATACTTGCAGGCGTTCAAGTAATGTTAAACACATGCATACGATATATATACATTTTTACATTGTCTCATACAAGTATGCTGTTGAAACTTTAGAGTTTTCTTTATTGGTCTTTGCATGCCACACTCGGATGTGGCTAATTTTGTGCTGTTAACATTCCACCGGCATCGGAGGCGAATTCCGGCCAATACAAATATAAATATTCAAAAATTCATTTATGACTAGAGTACAATATAATAACTATGCATATATGTATGTATGTCTGTATGTATGTATATGCTCGGGTAATAGTTATTTTATTCCCGTTGGGGAATTTCATTAGCCACTCACATATTGAAAATAAAATTGCAAAACTATTAAATTTCTCCAGAGATATTAATAAATGCACACACACACACATATGTATAGAAATATAAAATTGATTTATTAAAGCCTGTGCCGATACGCTTTATGTGAAAGTGGTGTGTCCATGGGTTGAATTGTGAATTGGCACAGCATGAGGCTTCGGCAAAGATAAGCAAATTTCTGCTCACAAATTTGTGCTGCTTTGGGTTGAGGGGTTGCGAGTACGAGTAATCAATCAATGTGTGAATGGTATGTGGGTTCCAACAAAATTAGTACTCTGTGTCGGCACGTTTGAAAAGCAATTTGTATTTCAGAAACTTACGGTATATTTAGCGTTGTAGTTAGATATTTATTTTATTAGTTTAATTCCACCGAGAATTTTGTAAGAGATGTTATTGATGTTTCTACACATTCACAAAACAAATGTAAGTAAAATTTCCAATTGGAAACTGTTTTTTTTTTTTGATACACTCGTGTACAGAGTGCGTAGAGGACTTTCAGCACTTGTTTTTTCAATGCCCTCTCTTTTCACATATCTAAAAAGAGCTGGACGAAAGCAAATTTGACAGCGGTTTTTTCTTAACACACTACTAATTGGAAAACTGTCGAAGAAGCGCCAGCTTAAATTAGTACAAAATTCATATATTTTCAGAAGGTTGGATTGGTCAGCTTGTCTGTACTATAGAGGAAACGTTTATTGTCTTGTCAGTTCCTCGAAGTAATACCCCATCGACTGGTTGCGTAAGAGATTCATGAGTTAAGAGTGGAATAGATTTAACATTCTGCATACCAAATTTCGGTGCTTCCCCTCTCTATAAAAAAAGGCATACAGCATAGGTCGTTAACGAAAGCGTTAAGTGCGTTACGACGACTTCATTAGTCCCCAAGCAAAAAGCTAGTATAATATTATTGAGGTCTTGTCCAAGTGAAATATCTTTAAGTATGGCAGTATAATCGAACGACTGCAACTATAATATCTGAGTTTGTAATGTTGCTACATTATTGAAATTTTTACAGAAAATAATTAATAGTTGAATAAATTAATAAATAAATAAAAAACAAGCTGTATAGGTTGGGGAGAGTTTTGAGTACATGAATTATTTGATGAGCTTTGCCATCTGTTTTAAAATGTATTAAACCCAAAAATCATGGATAAACAAATTACTTGAATATGAATAACAGTACAGAACATTAAGAAGGCCTAAAGAAGTAAATACAAATATTTGAGTAGCGCTGCCATATATTTCATTTGGTTTATCCAAGTTAAGAATAAAAAAAAATACTAAATTATTGTAACATAAGGACCTATCTTTTCCAAAAAAATTTCTATAGTATCTTTTCCCATATCCCTCATTGACCTGTACAATAAAACAACACTTTTACCCTCAATACAAAAAATTAAATTTTTTGAGACTTTCAACGCAGAATACAGCGCAGCTTTCTAACAAAAAAGTTTAAATTTTTTGCTTTTAAAAAAGATTTCGGTATACATCCGAAATCAATACAGTATTTTTCCCCATAGCCCAATAAACAGTAATATTATTCAGACCGCTATCAGTTTTTTTTAAGAGTCAATCGCTAGTAACCAAATCGAAAGAATGCTCATGTTATCGATTAGATTAAGCTTGCGATT